GGATGAGACTGGCACCTCCCTGAGGAATTCACACTGTTGTGGCTGGGGGGGTTTGGGGAATTGGGGTTTTGTCTGGGGAGATTCTTGCTAGAGGTTGTAGCTAAAAAACATAGCTGGACTGAATTGGCATTGTCTCTTGGAGTTCCTTGGGCTAGGCCTGACAGTCAATGGGGAAGCTGGCAGGAGGTCACAAATGGCAACCATGTGATATTGTGCTTAATGTGTCACGGGATTCGTTTGACGACAGCAACCGGGAGCACCAGAACTGCCATCACTAAATGGCCGAAGACGTACAAAAATAACAAAATTCAAAGAAATAAAACCATTTCACACAACCAAGGTACCATACATTCCTTTTGCAAATCAACATGTGCAGGGCTCAACTCCCATTCTGGCCTGGGGGAAGGGCCAGGTGTTAATGGCATTCCAGGAGGCCAGGAAGATAGAGTAGTATGAGATTGAATAATCAAAGGTATTTTCCAGTTTTTGTCAAAGTGAGAAATATTTGTTTTTTGTTTTATGCAGTATATAGTGATCTGGAGGTTCAGTCATGGCAACTGGACTTCTTTTCTTTTTGGTTTGATACATGAGAAAAGAAGTCCAGTTGCCATGATTCAACCTCCAGATATTTCCACCTGGATGACTGAGAATATTCATCATCAGTATATAGTGATGGAAATAATTTATGGTTTTGAAATCCATTTCAGGATTTTTTTCTGTTATTTACTTTGTACGAAATGCTCATTTCAGGTTCTCTGCCATCCTAGGTTAACCAATGCAGGCCCCTCTAAAATAAGTTTCTATTCTCACGGAATGTTATGAATTATACATTTAACCTCTTCATTAATTCACTAGACTTTTAAATGTAATATCCCTCTGACAAACCGGAGACTGTCCTACAAAAGCTTAAAATACATTAATTAAATAATAATGAGCGTGTCTTGATTACTAGGATTATCATTAATAGTATCAAGGTGATCGCTACCAGAAAAACATACCAGTTACAAATTCAGGAGACAAATGGCCCTGAATGACCAAGGTCCTATA